GCACGAATCCCTTGTGGGTTCTGGGCTTAAGGCCCGTTGAGTTTTCTATGCATACTCCATTGGTTGCGCTGCTTGGGCGGGCCATATGGCACTGGCGCCTTGCAGCGAAGCACAGCTTTGCAAGCCAGCAGAGAGAGAGAGAGAGAGAAGGAACGCCTCCGTGAAGCCATCACTGAGCCATCCTAAACCATAAAACTTAGGAGATGAGAAACGGACTCCCAATGATGGTCACCCTGCTTGCCCTGGGGAACATCATGGCGGGTCCATTTCTCCACTTTAAGGCGGTGACTTTGAGTTTGAGTGCGAGACGGGTCTTGCCAAGAGAAAAGCATGTGCTCCTGATGTTTGTCTTGAAAGCGTTGCGAAAAGTTTTTGCGTGGAGGTGGTCGTCGAATGGCATGGTTTGATAAGGATGGCTTGATGTTTGATGGATACGATGACGTGATGTTTGTTTGATGGGATGATGTGAGTGATTGATGGAAGGATGTGATGAGGTTATTGTATGGTTGGCGTGGGGTATCCGATGGGCTGCGATGCTCATAGCATGATGTGAGAGGTTTCGTGAGGTTGGCGTGAGGTGTTCGTGAGGTATTCGTGAAGTTGGTCCTAAATGATTGCTCGCGTGAGCCACCGCCTCTCCCGTAATTGCGCTGCCGTGTGGAGCATCCTCCGAAGTTTGCCTGGAATCGACGATGCATACTGTGTGTCGGGACGCTCCCACGGGGGTCCTCAGAATTTGGCTTGAAAGTAACGACCTTGCGCGGCAGCGTGTCCTGACACTCTTGCATGGAGTCGCTTTTTGCCCTGTGACGTTCCCGACTGGAGCGTCCTCAGTTTTGTAACAGGATTGACAACCTTCTCGGTGTTGGTGGCGTGAACGGCGCGCCTGCGTGCAGCTTCCTCGGACCTTTGCTGGCAATTGGCAACCTTCTCAGTGTTCGCGGCGTATCGGGACGTTCCCGTGTGGAGTATCCTCAGATTTTGCGCGGAATTGACAACCCTCTCACTAGACCCGGCGTTGCCGGACACTCCTGCGCGGAGCGTCCTCAGAGGTTGCTGGGAACCAACAACCCTATCAGTGGTCGCGGCGTGTCCGGACGGCTCCTGCGTGAAGCGTCCTCAGATTTTTCCTTGGAGCAGGGTTTTTCTGTGGAGGTGGTTGTTTGTAGGATGGCTTGCTGCTTGAGTGACGGGCTGATGTGATGAGGTTCTTGTACGCTTTTCGTGAACTATCGGATGGGGCTTGAAGTTGTAGTATGATGTGAGGTTTTTCGCCCGGTTTTCATGAGGTTAGCTCTTGATAACTACTATTCGCGAAAAGTGTTGAGAAGAGTTTTCCGTCGAGGGGCTGTCTATAGGATGGCTTGATTTTGATTGATGGGGTGATGTGATGTTGATTGCGTGCTGTGAGGCTTTCGTGCATAATTGAAGTGTTTCAAGACTAAGCAATGTATGAGGGAGAGAATAGCATGGATGGGCGCATCTATGCGTCCGTGTGGATCGTGTGGTGGGGGGGCAGTATGTAAGTTTGAGGCCGCATTCAGGATGAGGGCCTGAAAGGCCGGTTGAAGAAACAGAGGTCCGGTCATGCAAAGTCGGCGGTTGCGGCGCAACCGCAGGCTAACACTGGGGGTGGCAGCTGCGAGGAAGAGGGTTGGACAGGCATGGGACAGACATAACAAGAGCGGGACGCCCGCCGCTTTGACACCTGCACATCCATGGAATTACTGAAGGGAAAAGATCAAAGGACGCAAAAATGCAAGATGCCCCCGCTTTGATGCGACAAAAGACAAATGTTACAGGGCGACGCAACTGGCAAGGGAGGAAGAGGAGATATCTGAGGCAGGGCAGAAAGTAAAAGACATGAGAAGAGGGAGGGAGCGGAGGCTTGGGAAGGTGGCTAGGATGCGCAAAAAACAAGAGAGTGCCAAAAGAGGAAGAACGCCTGGGGCCAGGGTGCGGGGGCAGGAGGCCAAGAATACGAACGTGGAGAAACTAGCCGGGAAGTTCATCGAACTCAAAAAGTCTACCCAGCCATGGCACAGAGCCATCTGCAAAGGCGTTTTGCTTATTCTCGCCCCCCTCGCCGTCAGGGGATCGACGGATGGAAGGAAGGTATTTTTGAGGCAAAGGGCAGACCAGCCATGAAGATGCAGGTTGCAGAAGGTTGCAGCCTGTTTCACATTAACTCTTTTGTGTGTGGAGCTTCAGAGTCTTCAACACCGCCCTGAGTAGCCTGGCATGGATCCAGTGCAAGGGCCCTGGACAGGCATTGCATATGCCATCCATCCATGTATTCTTCTGATATTCATAGAATCATTGTTGATTGTTCCTGGTGATGCTACTCTTCTAGAATCTTGTCGTGTTTCTTACAAAGAGAGAGTAACAAAAAAGCATTCTCGGGGGGCAACTTGCACATGATCCCTCATAGAATGTTGCATGACAGAGGCAAATCAAGCATCATGTGCTCGTATGATCACATATGTGCATCATGTGCCGGTATGCGTAGAGAGGATAGCGGTATCCCGCACCGTGCATGGGCCAGCGATTTGCGACCAGCATGGCACGCATACCCTCCACGTTGGCGCTTGAGGAGCTTGCTGCTGTAGCATTGCATGTTCCCTGCGCGATGTTCCATGTATTGGTGCAGGATTTGGATGAGATCCTGCCTCACCTAGTTGATGAAGGCTGCTGCAGCGTCACCAGAAATCGTGAACATGCTTGCTGCCTGTACTTGCCTCTCCGATAGCATGTAAATAGGTTCTGTTGATGTATGTTGAGCACGAATACTTGCCAGTTCTCACAGGCAGCTTCAGTTTTAGAAGTCCCTGCTCTAGAGGTCTCCCTGACGGCGGTGAGTTCCTTGTTGCAAATCTGGGAGAGGGTGAGGCGCGGTTACCAAGTGCTTTCAGCCAGGTAAGCTTCATGTTCAAGTCTCATCTTTTTCTCCGAAAACGCATTGTGCAAGTCAAGTAATATCAACATTGTTGTGCAGCGCACGGCCTCCGTCATTGCGCTGTTGGTGTGGCATGGCTTCTTGCCGATGTCTGGCGTTGCTGCCTGAGCTTCGACAAAAATGCAGCATATCTTCGGGACTTTCTGCAGAGAACGTTGCTTGCTGAGGTTGGCATGCTGCTGGGGAAGATGCACTTGCACCGGTGTGTTTTGGAACCCAGCACCGTGCCCAGAAAGCTTTCAGCATGATGGCACGAGACGCGCAGCTAAGACACAGTCGTGAAGACCCACAGGGGATTGGCATGTTTCTGTCTTCTTTTATTGACCTGATTTGGCCTGTTTGTTTCATTTGATCATGAGGCCTCTAGGTCGTGTTGCACGTACAGGACGTGATATGGGTTTGTCTCCCGTCACCTTGCTGTTAATCCGCTTGCGCTTGACAGGTACCAGGTCTCAAGATTACATTGCCTGCTGTTATGTCGGAATGTAAAGTCTCCAACAGGGCAACCTTGTCACCTACGACACCGCCACGCTTCGCTGCAATTTGGACCCACATGATTCGTTTCTTGATCAGATCGTGCCCGCATGCTCTTAACAAGCGCAGGCATGGTGATTGGTATTTGCATTTGGCTGATGAGGTCATTGATTACCTGACACGATTTTCATTACGCAGTCAACTCTCGACCTGCTTCCCAATGAAATTCTATCATGCAACTAGGGGTTCATGCAGCTGTGTGATAACATGTGATAAGTACTCCTCCCGCCAATTTGGATGAGATAGCGCTCTGTCAAAGCTGCAAACGTCCGTGCTGCTGCTTTTCTATCAATGACGAACTGCCAGGCGTCCATGCTGCAAAATCATCTCAGCCTGCCAAGTGTATCGCTTTGTCACCCGTCTTGCGTCAGCTGTCAAGTCGGGTTGACTTGGAATGCAGGAGCACACTTTATGGACAGCAGCTAGGATGCCATGCACAGCGTATTTCATTATCATATCACATCACACAACCTCACCAAGTCAATCAGGCCGGGAGCCTCATTGAACTGTAGCTTCGTAGACTGCAGTCCCGGCAATACGCATGTCGCTATCTGACGTTTCTGAAGCAAAGCAGGTGTACACACCTGCAGTGCGATCATTGCTCGCAGCAGCAGCCAATCAAGTAAAAAAAAAACGCAAAAGATTTTAAAATGTAGAGAATTGATCGAATCTAATGCCCACGTCTTTGCTCAAATGAGGTAGAACACATGTGGGCAAGAAGGCAAGGAAGCAATTCAAGTGATGGCTGTCCTTGGTTACCGAGCTGGACAGGACAAGTTCTTGCTGCCATTGTTGATGCCAAGTCGAGTTGCCAGATGGATGTTTCATGACACGCATGATCAAGAGGTTGAAATGCAGTCGTCAGGCATTGAATACATGTCAGTGGCACATGCGGAGGTCAGAAAGCGCGCAAAAGCTTTTCGGCTTTCTGTGAATGAAGCCTGGTCAGAGGTCCGGCATTCAGCTTACGGATGAGTCCGCCAATTCTAGCAGCAGTCTTCTCAAGGTGTTTAGCCTGAAGCCCATGCTGAAAATGCTCAGCAGTATGAGCATAAGGTTGAGATGCCTCAAATGAAAGATATATCAATGTTGAGATTGAGTTTTCGAGATTCCACCAGAGGCGATATCAAGTGCCGAACACAAAAGCTTCTAAAATCCTTTTGTAGTGCGGACCCTTCACGTGCAAGACTTAAACAGGCAAAAAGGGAGAAGAAGGATTTGCAGTGTTTTGGGTGCTAGGGTCGTGCGTTTGGTGGTAAGCATGAAGCCTACGGAAGCCTCCAGGTGGTTGCAAACATCCAGCGCCACACCTGGACTTCTGCTCCAGGTTTGGGTTCTGGACATGCTTTGCTCTGTCTTTTGCTGCTTCCTGGGCTTTTCATCTCAACCTATGCATCGTGAAGGTGACTGCTGGCTGTCCGACAAGATGGCGCAGGCATACAAGGAGCTTTGGGCTGGACGCTTTGTGAGCTGTAAGAAGAGTAGCATGTGCAAGATGCTTTCTTTTGGAAGCGACTGCAGAAGCTGGGAACCAGACATGAATGATGTTAGGACGTTCAAAGCCTTGGCCTGGGACTTACCCTCGTGCTGTGCACCTCACTTTACCTCAGGGCTGAAGTTGAGGTGCAAATGCAAAATTATTTGTCCAAGCTGTTCCAGGGTGCACATGCAGCGCTCGCATATGTGCATGAGTCTTTATTTGCATACCAGCATTGCCAAGGCCCAAAGTGGCTGAGAGGTGGCATGCGCTTCCTCTCAATAGAGTCTCTTGGCACAAGTTTGGCTTTGCCTTGTTTTAGCTCGGGTGTGCTCAGGTGTTCTTCATGTTCTTCAGTCCCTCCATCCCTCCATGTCTCCTGACTAGGGTTGGAAACCACATTTTGTATCGCGCTACTTGAGCCTTCCGAACAGCCGACAAGCCACAAATCCAGATGATTAGCACATGATTTGCATTCAAGATCAATAGAGGATTTGGTGGAATTTCAGTAGGCCGGGCGGCAGACGCTGACATATGGATTTCCAAGCATGCAGAGGAATGTTTGGGCCCTCCAATTACTAAGTGAAACATGTTTCACGTCTCACTCTCACTTGCAAGCTTCAGTAACTTCCCAAGCACGAGCTCGCATTACGATAAGTTGCTGGGAGGTTGGCTTGGAGGGACCGTTTGACTTACTCCACCCAGCGCCTAAACCAGAATTCTCTGCCCACACACGCAAACACCACGTTTCCCGTGCGAGAACGGATGCTGCAGGGAAAAACTACCAGCTCGCATGCTGTCGACTTTGAGTCCTAGAGCAGCAGCAGTAGTAGTAGTCGTAGAAGCAGCAGCAACAGCAGCAGCATAGTAGTACTAGCAGCAACAGCAGTAATTGTTGTACCGACATTGCATTTTACTGTGCAAAAACGCACATGTTGATTTTTGTCAGCCGGCGCTGCCAGGTCCAAAACCATTCTCTTTTCGCCTGGTTTGAAAGCACATTTTGCTTGAAATATGGTAGGTGATTACTCATCAGATGCTCAGTTCCCCTGCTTTGCACCCGGATAACCAAGACCAAGACGCCAATATCCACGATGGGCATGTATCATTCGTTTGCTTGCATCTGGATGACCGAGGGGGTCTTTGGCTTCCATGCTTTAAATTCGATGGCGAAACGCATCCTTCAGAAGTACTTTTTCCCACAAGCAGGGAATAACGTCATTACCTCTTGGGCGCTTTTCGTTTTTGGCATTCGGATGACCAAGAGCTTAAGACCCACGGCAGTAATCGATCCCTTCATTCCTTTGCACCCAGATGAACAAGATGTTGATAATGGTAACCTTCACTGTATACATGTTTCTTTTGCGTCCGTGTGTTAAATTCGATGGCCTGCAAAGTTCTGCAATCAAATCTAGGAGCATGTCTCACTGACCCTGGATTTCGAGGCCAGCAAACAGTCCTAAAACTAGGCAAAGGTGCTGCGAGGGTAACGAAGTCACACAATCCTGCAAGCCACAGCGGCTCGCAAAGTGACTAGCATTCGCGTCAGCTTAATCAGGCTGAACCGTTTGTCAAAGATTTCCCTTCGGCCGCAGTTTCGAGCACGCTTGCATCATTGCTAGACCTTACATAGGGCCTTTCCACCCTGCCAATCTTAACGGGTACCTGAATGCTGAATGCATGCCAGCCTCACAAGATGTGACTCGGAAACCGTGCAGAGCTTTTATGTGAAGGGGTCAGAGCCTCCTGATATGCAAGGTTATGGCATAGCCAAACCGGCGACCTCGTCGCTGGAGAGATAGGCAAGGCTTTTGGGGCATTCCCTTCACAACTGAAAAGTGGCGCAATGGCAACAGTCAACAGCAAGCAAAAACTATGCTAGAAAGCTTGGACAGAGAAGTGCAATATTTCCTGAAGCTCGACGAATGCTCATCTCCCAAAATGTAATGGGGTGTGACGAGAGCAACTACGTCCTCCCTTTTACATCGGACTGTCAGTCTTGCATTTATCCCTTGAATTTGGAGAGTTGCTGCAGGCTACACGTGCGGTGCTCTACTCAGGTGTTAGTGCGCCGGGCTGTCAAGAGTTACCAAAAACGGGCCAACACTTCCGTTTGCACAAGGCTCCAGTTGCACACTGTGCAAGATCTTCCTTCACTGGGGTTGACAGGGCCATGCCAGGGCAGTGCTGAAATATGATGCCACGTGTGCGTGACTGTTGTCATGTAAGGCAGCATCTACAGGCAGGGGCGGGTCATGCCTTCATGAAACAGAGCCGTCGAGTGAGTCTGCATGTATGCAGTTCTTTGATGCAAGGTTGCCAGACATGCTGGATGACAGCATGATGTGATTCACTGCGTGCGTACAATATCGTACGATTTTGGTCTTGGAGTTGTGAGCTGCACTAATCGCTCTGGCAGTAGCTGCACTGGCTTCTCCATCAAAGACAAGCACGCAACTCAGCGCACCTTCCTGTCCAGCTCGCCCCGGGACCGAGTCGAACCCCGATGCTTCAGTTCGCAGAGCTTCCTTGCAAGCATGCCCAGGTACCCCGGCGCTGGATGTGTGCAGCTGGCAGCGCTTGGCGCGTGGTTAGCCGGGCTCCCCAGGAGCTTGAAGTCTTTTACGTTTGTTGGGCACTCACTGTACTCCATTGACCTTGCGAACTTCTTTTGGATTCCATTTTTTTCTAGTTGACAACCTTAAGCTGTGAGCAGGCAGTGGCTTACCTGAACACGATATGCTGAGGCAAAGCAAGGCTTCCAGATTTGGGACCTTGGAATGGAGCTAGCCTCGTGCCCAGATGGTTAGGAAGCGAAGGCTTCAGATCAAGATGTTTAGCCAAAGCAGCAACATTTGCGAAGGACTACAAGCTGGAACTAGGAGGTCAAGTGGTGCCTCGAGTCGAGTGGGCTTCGTCCGGATCCGAGCTGTGTAGGAAAATGCATGCAGAACATGCCAATATGACAGGCAAGGAAGCTCATGCACTTTCCAATCTGATTGTTTATGCTGGCTTGGGACGGGGGCGTTTGCATGCTTGGTTGGCGGCGTGTTTTCTTTTCGCTGTTTGGGCGGGGGGGGCCTGTTGTTTTATTTCTTTGTTGGCTGTTGGGGCGGGGGACGGGAGTTCACTCACTTACGGGCCTGCCTGGGTTGTCTTTGCAGGGCCCAACAAAGCAAAAAACAGCAAAAAAACATTGGCTTCTTGCGAAAATATGAAAAGCAGTCTCTTGACCACCCAAACAGCAAAAACACACACACACACACTGGCATCGAGGTCCAAAAACTTGCTTGTCAAAACGAAGTCGGCTGATGGAAAAACATGTGCTGTAGCAAACTTGTAAGCGGCTCATCCACTCGCATGCGCTGACATGGAACTACATGTTAGGGGGCCTACGGGACCTCAAGAGTACCCCCTTCTGCACCCCACTGCCACGCCGGGCCCAGGGCTACAGAAGAGACTTTTTAGATACACGCACATACGTTTTCACCCTTCTTGGGGGTGTCCTCGTTGGCAGGAGACCCCCAGGCAGAGTACCTGCCCCTTGCATCTGCGTGCTAAACCCTAAACCCTTCATGTGGGAGCGACCCCCTGCACCCATGTCCCAGGATGCCTGACACACACGCAAAGCCTCCCAATAGGCGCAAATGTTGGCGTGTAAACTAGAGAGACACCTACAGCCCTAAAGCCGAAACCTTGCTGGTGGGAAAAGATGTGCTTGTAGATGCCGATGTCGAGCCATTCCACGGGGTAATTCGGGGTAATTAGGGTTAGTGCACACAATCCCGCTGTGGCGAACTACCCAGGAATTGTGTACTGCCCAGCTGCCCACGCCAGGGCCCAGGGCCAGTAGTGGGAATAATGCATCCTCGCGTTGCGCGCACAGGCACCCAGGAGCGATGCGAAATTATAAGGCCTCAATACCTCAGAGGGCCTTCACGGCAAGGGAAGGGGATAGAAACCTAGGGAGTGTGTTTTTGGATGAAATTAGGGTTTGTACACACCTTCCAGCTGCCCGAAGAGAGCCAGGAACAGTGTAACTACTGCCCAGCTGCCCGCGACAGGCTCCAGGACCAGTAGCAGGAAGCAATTGCTCCATCCCAAGTTGTGCACGAGGGCATTCAGGAGCGAGGGGGCAAGACGTCCCGATCCCGTCGAGGACCACGGAAGATTGGGTTCAGGGAATAGGGAAGGAGAGAACACTGGAACAGAAGCTTCTCGTAATGGACGTTCCCGACTACGCGCATGCCCTCCTCACCCTAATGCATTCGCCTCACGTCAGATGCACGCCTGTACATGCCCTAGCACATGACGCACAATCAGCAGACGCAGCAAACCATCACGCTAAATAGTAAATAAGCTGAACTCGATCACATGGAAGAAGCATAACCTGCCATCTCCTCAGCCACCTGTTCAATGGGAACCCTGAATCCCGGACACCGCGGCGCCTCCGCTCGAATCACACTTGCCTCAGCCAATCTCTGGGATCGACCCGCAAAGAAGTATGGGTCTGTCCACTACAAGATGATTGAGGTCCAAAAGCTTGCTTGAATAAACATAGTGAACGAGTTCTGCTGATGGAAAAACATGTGCTGTAGCAAACTTGTAAGCGGCTCATCCACTCGCATGCGCTGACATGGAACTACATGTTAGGGTACCCCCTTCTGCACCCCACTGCCACGCCGGGCCCAGGGCTGCAGAAGAGACTTTTTAGATACACGCACGTACGTTTTCACCCTTCTTGGGGGTGTCCTCGTTGGCAGGAGACCCCCAGGGAGAGTTCCTGCCCCTTGCATCTGTGTGCTAAACCCTAAACCCTTCATGTGGGAGCGACCCCCTGCACCCACGTCCCAGGGTGCCTCACACACGCACACAAACACACAAACACACAAACACACAAACACACAAACACACACACACAGACACACACACACACACACTGACTGGATGTCGTCAATCACTGATTGACATATTGGTTTTGTGGACTTTTTTGAAGGAACTGATCCATTACAAGCATTGCCACGGTCCATGCCGTTACTTACAACACATCAACACCACAAACAAGCACCACAAACTCACATGCACTGATTGCAAA